CTGAGCTCGGTGCGGCCGGTCTCAAAAAAAAAAAAAAAAGAGGTGTGGCCAGAGCAAGTGTGGACGGGGGCCTGGGACCAGGTTGGTGCACAGCCCCTGTGCCCAACTCAGGACCCCACCCTTGACCTGTGTGCCGGCCCCGTCCTGTCAGCACGGCAGTCCTGCCAGTGCTTGCTCATGCTGAGACCTCCATGGCACCCTGAGTCTTCTGCAGCCCTCCTCACCCACTCTGCCCTGCTTTGCAGAGGCAAGTGGAAGTCAGCGTCCGGAACAAGATCCTGTACCTGATCCAGGCCTGGGCACACGCCTTCCGGAATGAACCCAAGTACAAGGTGGTCCAGGACACCTACCAGATCATGAAGGTGGAGGGTGAGTCAGGGCAGGGTGGGGGTCCAGCCGGATGTGCAGAACACGGCCACCAAGAATTGAGGGGCCGCTCTGCCAGAGGAGTCACACCACAGAGGCATAAGTGGCACAGGGCAGCGGCAGATGGGCTGGTCCTCATCGTGGAGGCAGGACGGGCTCAGACAAGTGCCAGCCTTTCTGGATATCATGCTCTAAGGACAGTGACGGCAGACAACACATAAATGACAAGTCAGCAGACAAGCCTATTCTAGAGAGTAGTGAGGGCCCTTGGGGCAGCTGGGGCTGAACGGTCAGGGACGACCTCTTGAGGAGGTGCCTTGTGTGCCATTATTCGAACTGTTGGGAGCAGACAGGGTCCAGCAGCTCACAGAGGACCCTCAGGTTCAGAGGCCCTTGGGCCAAAGCACACTCAGTCTGCCGAAGGGACAGAAAGGCAGACAGCTTGCCCAGGGGAGAGCCTGGGCCGGGCTGCTCCCTGGGCCTCCTGAGCTGTGGTCTAGGGTTTGGTGTTCCTCTGAGTGTGGCAGGAAGCCACTGGTGGGTTTCAGGCTGGGCCACGGCAGCTGAGATGTTTTTGAAGAGCTCCTCTGTCTGTGTTCCTCCGGGTTGGTGTGGGGGCCGTGGAGAGCTGGTGGGATGCAGAGAGGGACGGCAGGCTCAGGACGTAGTTGCTAGTGCTCGGCGTGCTGGTGGCGAATGAGAGTGGCGGGCCGAGGCTCTTTGTGGGCTGGGCCGGGCCTGCCCCTGTCTGCAGCTCCTCAGTCGGCCCGAGCATGGCTATAGAGCGTAGGGCAGGGGCCGGCCCTGGGAGTGGTAGGTTTGGCCATGGGAGCCGGGAACTTGTCCTGTGGTGCTGGGGCTGAAGGGGTGGCAGCCCCCTGTGCTCTGAGCGCTGCCCCAGCCGCTAGATGCCTGGACACTGGACACAGGTCTTGCCTGTGCTCAGGCCCACATTCCTGGGGAGAGATTCCAAGGCCCTTCCAGTACTCACAAGAAGCTTGGGAGCCTCTGTTTTCAGGAGCAGGGGGAGCTCTGGCTGCAGAGCCAAGGGTGGGGATCCAGACAGGCTGGGCTGCTACTACGGAGACAAGCTGAGATGCTACGATGGGTGGGAGCAGCATTTTAGGAGAGTGGGCACCCACGACACTGAACATGAAGGGCCCCATGGGGACGCCAGCCTAGGTGGGGCAGGGGCTGTCCCTTTGCCCCTGAGATACCCTCACTGGGCAATAGTCGCTCTGTTGTGTCCCAGAGGGCTCCCTCAGCGCCCGGGCTCTGGGTGTCCTCCCGTCGCCTTGTCTGGGAAGGCGGGTGCTGGGAGTTAGGAAGAGGCTGTCAGAGGCCTTGCGAGGATGAGGGCTGGCCCCTGTGTGACCGCGGCCTCCTCTCTCCAGGATTCGTCTTCCCAGAATTCAAGGAAAGTGATGCCATGTTTGCTGCTGAGAGGGTGAGTCCCGGGCAGGCTGTTGCGAGGGCTCCTGAGGGGTAAGGAGGGGCCCTGGGAGCTGCTGGCCTGGGTGTGGTGGGTGAGCTGCTTCTGTCTCAGATGGGTGGGGGCATGTCCGAGTGGGAAGCGCCGCTGTGGCTCTGCAGGCTCGGGGGACGGCCAAGGTGCCTTTGGTCTCTGCTGTGGGTCCGCATGATTAATGCAGATGTTGACGGGGCCCACAGCTGGGGAGTCTTGATGTCACGCGTCTGACAGAGAAGAAGTCCATTTGAAGGGTCTCCTTCCTCAGGACTGAGGCGACTTGACTCCTGGGCCGGGCAGCTGCCTTTGCCTGGGCAGCTGCCGTTGCCCATGCTGGGATGTTCTTTGGGTCCTTTTCCCATCTATGGGACACGCAAGAAGTTCTGCCACCTCTGGGAGTTTTTTTGGTGGGCGGCAGTGGGGGACTATATATGGTCCTGACTCTGCCTACCCTCCAGGCCCCGGACTGGGTGGACGCTGAGGAATGCCACCGGTGCAGAGTGCAGTTCGGAGTGGTGACCCGCAAGGTGAGTGCCTGCCCGGGGGTGGTGGGCTCTGCCCCGTGGTCTATCCCCTGCTGCCTTCATGCACGGCCGTGCAGACACCAGGTCCCCAGCTGAGTGGCCCTGACCCTTCTGCTGGAACCTGGTGGTTCGGGAAGATGGCGTGGAATCAGTGCCAGTGATGGTCAGTGCCCTTGGCTGAGGTTGGCAAGGTCCAGCTTCACTCGGGATCAGAATATCCCATGCCTGGGGCTCAGGTCCTGGCCAGGGTCAGTCTTCTGCATTGCTGTGGCTGAGGGAGCCGTGTTTTTAGGCAACTTAGCTTGTTTGGACTCTGATCCCTCAAGCTGCCTTCTCCCTCCTGCTAAAGACCTCAGGCAGCGAGTGGGGATGCTGGAGCCCTGGGGGTGTCTGAGCAGAATCCTGGACCCACTGCACATGCACAAGCTCTTCTGTTGTTGGCAAAGCTCATACATGTTCTTCTCGACCTCTCTGGTGGCAGAAGTTGAGACTCCTGCCAGTGTGTCCAGTTCCCCAGGGCCTCCGTGTCCTCCTTGGTATCGCTCTGCTCGTCCTGACGCCACTCCCGCCCATCTCTGCCTAAGCGGCCCAGCCTCGGCATCGTCAGTGTCGGGGCTGGGCATGTTCTTCTCAACCTCTCTGGTGGCAGAAGTTGAGACTCCTGCCAGTGTGTCCAGTTCCCCAGGGCCTCCGTGTCCTCCTGGGTATCGCTCTGCTCGTCCTGACGCCACCCCCGCCCATCTCTGCCTAAGCGGCCCAGCCTCGGCATCGTCAGTGTCGGGGCTGGGCAGGCAGGCCAGGGTGACCCCGGCACCTGTAACGGGCCTGTTCCACTTGTCTCGCAGCACCACTGCCGGGCATGTGGGCAGATCTTTTGTGGAAAGTGCTCCTCCAAGTACTCCACCATCCCCAAGTTTGGCATCGAGAAGGAGGTGCGCGTATGTGAACCCTGCTACGAGCAGCTGAACAAGTGAGTGCCCCTTGGAGCACCAAGGTGGCTGCCCTTCCTTGGCCAGTGCCCTAGACTCCAGATTGGGCAGGGGCGGGGTAGACGAGGCCACAGGACAGGCGGACCAGTCACCTGGGTTGATTTTTTGGTTTGTTTTAGCTTTTGGAAATAAAACTTACAGCAAAGCTGCGAGGGTAGTGTGGGAAGCTCGTGTGCGGGTGCCCTCACCCGGCTCCCACGGGCTCGGTGGCTCGCTGTACTTGCTTGGTCAGCCCTTCTCCCCCCGCCCACCCGCAGGTGTCCGCGTGATCACACGTGAGCATGCTTTATTTTGACCGTGCGCGCGACTCATCGTGTGGTTTCATGCTTGAGCTTCCACGTGCGTGTCCTAAGAATGAAAGCGTCCTCCCACATAAGCAAAGCACAGTCGTCGCTGGGACAGGGGTCGCTTGTGTGGCATTGACGTCACCCGAAGGCTGTGTTCCAGTTCCACCCTTGGCCTAGCAACGTCCTCTGTGGCAGTTGCTGCCCATCAGGGCCTGTCCTGTGCCACGCAGTGTTCTTTGGGTTGTTGCGTCTCCACA